CCTGGGTGACCGTTTCTGCTGGGTGTAGCTTCTGGGCAGCCCCAAGAAACGGGGGACAGCTGTAAAAGCAAGGAAGAAGGTTTCCTGGAGCAAGGCCCAAAGTAAAAAGCTTCTCCTAGGCGCTGCAGTCCGTGTGTTTTCCAGCCCAGGCACAGATATGCGCGCTCCCCCCCACGCATCTGCCTCTCATTCCAGGCTGTAGTGCTTTATCTGAGGGCGAGAGGCTGAATTTGGGAGCAACGCCCAGACACAAAGCCAAAGAAATTTTATTGTTGAGTCTCCAAAAGATGCTTTCATTTGTTTTCTTTGTGCTTTGGAGCAGATTCTTACCCTCCGCAGCCGTCCCGTGGCAGCCTGCAGCCCTGAGGGTACCCGACCAGCTCAGCGGGACGTGATTCAGCCCCACAGCCTTTGACACTTGGTGGGAAAGTGTCATAGAATCATAGGTTGGAAAAGACCTCTAAGATCACTGAGTCCCACCATCCACCCAACACCACCATTCCTACTAAACCATGTCCCAAAGTGCCACATCTACATGTTTTTTGAACCCCTCCAGGGATGGTGACTCCACCACCTCCCCGGGCAGCCTGTTCCAATACATGACCACTCTTTCAGTAAAGAACTTTTTCCTAACATCTAACCTAAACCTCCCCTTACGCAACTTGAGGCCATTGCCTTTTGTCCTATCGCTAGTTACCTGGGAGAAGAGACCAACACCTGCCTCACTACAACCTCCTTTCAGGTAGCTGTAGAGAGCAATAAGGTCCCCAAGCATCATCATTGTGTGCTGCCATAAGTTTGTGCTGCAGAGACCTTGTGGGTTCCGGCTCTCTTTTCAATTTTGCAGGCAGTTCAGCATTTTTTTCAGCTACCAAGATTCTTTTGCACAGCTTTATGTTTCCACCTGTGTCTTCTCAAAGCAAAAGGCCACCAACAGACCGTGCAGAGACTGGAATACTCCTCAGAATCACAGAATCACAGAATCATAGAATGGTAGGGGTTGGAAGGGACCTCTGTGGGTCATCTAGTCCAACCCTCCTGCCGAAGCAGGGT